TTTATTTTTCATCTATCCAACCAAACACTAAGGAAGGAAAGTGTATTATTTATATTTTTCTTCCTTAAAAGATAGAAAGTGTATTCTCTTATTTTCTATCATTTATATTTATCATCATTCCTACCAAACGTACCATTAAATTAGAGAACATAACGAAGAGTAAAGTGGGCATAATGAACCATTCTAAAATGCATTTCTTTAGATTAAGGTATAATAAAATATTGTTAGCACCCATAGTCACCGACTTACCACCCCCACCATATTCAATGAATAAAGGGGCCATTTACATATATATATATATATATATATATATATATATATATATATATATATATAGATCTGTGTGTGTATTTTGTCAGAAGTCATTTTGTTTATAATAGGTCACACCTAATATCACTTAAAGACATTATAAGTGATTTATTTAAAAAAAAAAATATAGAGGAAATTTCCACAAGAACGGCCACGTGACAAGCTCATATTAGTCGGTTACTTTTATATTTGAATATAAGGGTCAGGCACGTACTTGGCGGAATTGGACTTGGGGCCCATTTGATTCTGCGTGTTCATGCCAGGGCTTTACACCATACCCTCTGTTAACTTGACACGCGTCGAACTTTAAGCATAAAGTTCAACAAATTGCCACGTGGCCAAAAGGAACCTTCATGCAACCTTGGCGCAAGCCTTCAGTCACCGATTAATTATTAATTTGTCGTTCTGTTTGACACTAAATAATTGGTTTAGAAAAATGCTATATAATTTAAATAAAATCTAAAAATTAAATTCAAATATATATTATCCGTTGAATGAATGTGAGATGAGTGAATCCCAGTGAAAAAATTAAGGAGACACACTCATCTAAGAGATGATAATCATTTGGGATATAATTTTTTGGGTTTCATTTGAGTTTTGTAGCATTGCTCATTCATTTAAACTAGCTCTGGTAACGATTACGAGTTATAAATTTAAATGTCTTGAGTTTGATATTTGATAATCATGTCACCAAAAAATTTATTTCTTATGAATATCCTAGTTTAGGCATAAATAACCTGCATTTGATTGAATTGAAAAAAAAATTAATCGAGGTGCACATAAACTAGTCCGGATTAAATTATTAATTTTATTATAATTTTAAATTTACTTATCAAAATACGATACTTTTGAAAGCGTGTTTGTTTGAATATGCTTTTAAAATAAAAATATACTTAGAAAACATGTTTTTGTTTAAGTTAGGTCGCCGTTGTTTTATCTATTGTCAATTTTATATAATTATTATCGATAACTCGTGCTTGAAGGCACGGTGTAACGTAAGTAAGAAGTGATGGATTTGGAAGAGGGGGTAATTCAATGTAAAAGGTTTTGAGAGGGATATTGGTGGTCGTTAGATGAATTTATTTGAGACTATTGGATGAATTTATTGAAGTCTATCTTATTTTATATTATAAATATTTTTAATGAAACACATTTTTAGAAAAAAAATCATAATTTAGTAAATAAGTGTAAAATAATAGTAAAACGATAAAATTTATTTTCAAATATATGGTGTATACTGCTTTCTGAGATCATTTTTCAAACCTTCTAGTTTTGTTAGTTAGTCTTTATAGTGGACTTTCGCACACCTAATTCCGTTTAATTGGATAAGGTGATAGTATAAGATAAGATAATAGAGGTGGACCTAGAGTTCAAACCGACTTTTAGAGTGTAACCTAAAGTATAATTTTCTTCCCTAACTGTGTAATGAGTTGGCTTCTCGTGGAATATTCCTCTGAATATTTGTGTTTGATTTTTCAATATTTATTAGTCTAATTTTTTGAAGATTAGAATGCACAGTGCTTCATTCATAGTAATTTTTGTTTGTTATAGTGTCGGAATCTTATAAACAATCCTATAATTCATCATTTATACTATAGTCGAGAGAAAGGTTAACGGTTGACCTAGTAATGAGAATCACCTGTCTCTTTGCTGGATTTAATGTTGCGGATTTGAACCTATAAGACTCCATATTAATATTAAATAAGGATAAAATATTTTAAGAGTTCTCCGAAGATAAATAAAAATATAGTGGAAACTTTGAAACATTTTTAAAAGATTGATATGAAGTTTGAGTTTCACGTGTATTGACTTTCGAGTCAAATTTAATTTTTGAGGTTTTAAGCTTGAGAATGGTAGTTATGAAATTTTCTAAATGTTTTAGGTCAAAATAACATTAAATATGAATATGGGAGGTCAAGAAACTTTGGAATATGTGATATTGGAACTTTAGAAGTATTATGAAATTAAAACGAATTTTTCAAAGAATTCGGGTAAGAAGAAATTTGATACTAGCTTAGTATTTTGATTATAAATTTTTATCCCGATGGTTGATTGACCTAATTTATGGACAATAGAAACTAGATTTTAAGATCTGTAAAAGTGTATTTTATTAAAATTTTGTGAATCAACTTTAAACTAGGTAAAAATAAAGTCAGAAATTTGAAGCAAAGTGTCACCAAGTCGAGACACAAATAGTTGTCCGGACACGCCTATTTATGTCTATTCGAATAGGAAATCTGTGTTCAAATGCATTTATTAGAATCCGGATAGTCGGGATGCATCTCCGGGTTTAGCCCGATCAGTTTTCAACCTTTTTTTTTTTATTTTCATACTATAAATACCCTAAGGATGGGGTTCAGACTATTTTAAACATTGTTTCAGCCGTGGAAAACTAAGAAGAGTAAAGGAGGAAAAAAAAGGTAGAGATCTTGACTTATTAACACTGGGGGATCGTATCAAAATGCGTTGGGATCAAAATCTATAGAAATTAAGGTAAGAATTATTTCTCAAATTCATCTATTGAGATTAGGGTTATATAACTATAAAATTTACATCTTTATTATTATAAATAATAGATAGTGGGTGCTTTCTTGTTTGTTTAAATCTATAGTTCGTTTCCTGAAATAAAATACATTTCTTGCATTAAAGATTGTTTGTTATTGATACAAAACCATTTTACTTAATTTATAAATTAACTTAATCAATAAAGCTTTAAGGTTTTATATTCCTTTTTAATATATATTTCAATTCTTGGTTGAATACATGATTTACATCCAAGAATTATGTGTTCTTGATTTAAAAATTTATAAATTAAATATTGTGAAAATGAATGTTTTGTTTTACGATCTCTCGCGTGTTTTATTTCAAATTATTCTTTACTTGAGAATTGTGGAATTATGAATTTTGGTGTATGTAGTTTTTGTGGAAAAAATGTTGTATTATTTTTTGTTTGGGGTAGTTGATGAATGAGAATTACACTCGAATGCGTATCATAAAGTGTTAGAGATTTTTCTACTTTGAGGGGTTTGATGATTACCTAATACTTATTGAAGTTTGGTTTCTTGCGAGAGACACCCACTATTATTCACTTAGGTTCAAGACTTTGGGTTAGTATACTATTCATATGAAAAATTCCTCAATACTAAATAAGTCGGTAGGCACTCTTCCATAAGAGTTTATGGTTGTTGTGACCTTGTGGAGATTGACGTAAGATACGTTTGTATTTGTGGTAGGTGAACGATATATAGCTTCAGTGTGAAGATTCACGGTAATCTACTTGCGAACAACGAGATATCATATTTTGAATTGTGGTATTGGCAAATGATTTTACCTTTATATGAATTTTACTGTTTCTTATTGTAAACTTGAGATTGTTATCAAATGTCATTGTTTTACTTCAAAGTTTAAGTGCTTATTTTACAAATTGAGACTTATTTGTTCTATGTTTTTGAAACGTTGTTTGAGTTTAAGAAGGTTTTTTACTTGGTTTTGTGCTCATTCCACATTATTACATTTTTCAGATTATGGACTTGAAGATGATATCACACTAGATGGGCAGGGTGATTTTAAGGCTAAACTGGATCAAGATGTGGATTCAAATTTAGAGGTTTAAAGTTGCTTATATCTAGTTTAGTTATTTATGAGCACTTGGAATAACCGACTTAATTTTGTACATTTTCAATTCTCGGATCTACATGCACCAAGTAATCATAAATATACATCTATTTTATTTGATGAATTCTAGGAACTTTTCTAATCACTACAACAATTAAGGTTTTTAATAACAAATTTTTCACACTATAAATATGTTGTTCGTCACTAAAAAGTTTTAGTGACGGTATTTTTGTCATCACTATGTGGTCAGTAAATTTTTGTCACTAAGTTGTCAATTGTGGCAAAATCTAATAATCGTAGTTATGGTCATGGACCTCGTATCAAACAGCCAAGCCTTTGTCTCGTGAATTTCTTTTTGTAAACCAATCGAACTAGCTCCAATGGAAAGACGAGTTACGATCCCAAATCTAAATCATGTCCCTTCTATGTTGTTATGAATACGAGTCCAAATGTTTGTAGTTGGACTGTTTCTTTTTTAACTTCAGAAATAAAATAGGAAAAAAAAAAAAAAAACCTTTGAAGTGGGGATGTACACAAGGATTTGTAAGACACCTTAAGGGTCGATCCACAGACATAAACCCTTATCCTAAAAAGGAAAAAGTTCAATTCTCTTTTCTTTTCTTTTCCTTCTTTTAACTTTTTTAGTTAAATGAAAATTCACCGAAACTTTATTATTATAAATACAGATTGTCCCAAGGTTTTTAATACCCATTTTTAAAATACATGAACTTATCGGAACCCAAGTGGAGCATGTAAACGTCAGGATTTTAATATCAATTGTTGACCACATAATAAATTGTAGGCCTGTTCTGGTCCTAGGACTGGATTTTAACTGGGGTGTCAATTCCGCATCATTCATGAATTATTATTTCTATATCTGTTATGATAATATGTATCATGTTTGTGTCAATATCGTCATAAAAAAATTAGTTGAATGTGTTATAAGTGACAACTACTAATCCAATCTATTTATTATGAGTATTTATCAATTGTTTTAATTTTAAAATTATATTGTCTTGGATTGGTATTGTGTTCTTATGGATGAGCTAGAATGACACCCCTAATTTTTACCAACAAAAGATGAAATACTCCTTCATAGATACTTCAAAGTATATCATTTACATAGACTTCAAAGTAAATCATTTACATAGACTTCAAAGTGTATACAATCCCAAACAATAATCAAGCAAAACAAAAACCAGAATCATCCTCCTGATAAGAAATCCTTCATCTCATGGATTATGACCCTAGATAACCAAAAAACAATTCATAATTGTCTAAGCGGCAGATGGTGCGGTAACGGAATAAACAACCCCAGACTCCGAAAGCACCGTCGTGACAGCTACTACATTAGTCATTTGATAATCTAGTGACTCATCGTTGTAAATATCCCACCACTGCTTCACCAGCATCTTGATATCTTCTCTCTCCATATTCTCTTCTTTGCCAGTGAACCTCCATGGCTTTGAACCCGCAGCACAATAGTGAACAACTTTTGCTTTGTCAAGCTCAATGTTCTCGGGGTGGCGCCACAACATGGCCAAGACCAAGTTGTAGATTGGAGGGATAGGCCTGTAGATGTCCCTAAAGAACATGTTTAAGAAATCCTGCTCAGCGAAAGAGGTAGGAGGAGTGATTTTGAGGGTTTGCAAAAGATCATCATAGATAGAGAGGCTGGGCTCGTAGACAAACATCCCAGCATTGAAGTAAAGAGGAGGCTTGGGTCCCAACTCAACCGGCCACTGGACCTTGTTTGGACACTGTTGACAATATCCTATTTTGTACTGGGGACTCTGGCTCCAAGTCTTTTCACAGAAACAATCCATCACAGCATAAAAATGACCATTTGGCATGTCAAAGAGGTGGTCGATGTTGTCAAACACTTGAATATCTCCATCCAAGTATATCATCTTACTGTACTCTACAAACTGTAGGTAAAAAAAAAATTAACATTATTAAAACACCAATTGATATAATAACATTTAAGCCAAAAATAATGGAAATTGCAACACAAATATAATCATCCTCTTTAGTTGCCATAAAGGGGACACAGCCAAACAGGCCCCATTTAATATTGAGCCACTGTGGTTCATTGTTTACCATGTACAAGTAACGGAATAGACCAACATGACAAAGAATCTTAATTGTAACTTAAAAGCTTACCTCCCAGATACGAAGCTTGGAGTAGTTGATGACATAGTATGCCATTGCAAACTGCGTCTGGTTCTCCGGTGGGTACACCGGCTCAATTTCACGGACTATACAGCCTTGAGACACCAGTATACGGCGGTGTTCCTCCGGGACGTCTGGAAGAACTGCCACCACAAGAGGGTAAGCAGTTTTCACTTTTCTTAACCCTTTAGCTAAGCCAACCACGCCTTTCACATAGTCACCGTTGCCAGCCAAGAAGGTAACATATGCACGGCTAGAAAGACTGGCAGCCTTGGCTAGACCGGTGGTGGGCTTGGTTGCAGCACTTATAAGATCAGGAGCCATTTGGTTTGTTCTAACAAAATACTAAGGAGGAGGAGTTTTTGCAGATTGTTCCGTATACAAATGTGGAGAAAAGGAAAAAGATGAAGGTTTTTGAAGGCTGTAAGAGAAGAAAATGGCTCAGCTATTTGGTGATTTTGAGAGTGTTGGTGATGGCTTGTTTGGGGTTGGGGTTGTTTATATAGGGCTTGGTGAATTAGAAAATTCAAAGAAGGAATTGTATTGCATGGAAAAAGATATCCGGATAGCAAAATGGATGAATCTGAGACTGGTATTACGAGGAACAATGTTTCCCAAGTCATGAGAGTACGAAGTCGTTGTAGGTCCCATAATACTCTATTTCCTTCCACAAAACAAGGACTGTCGGTGTGCCGGGGGATTGGATCCGACGATTAGTAATTTCCCGATTAAATATATTCTGTGGATTGGCCGGTGGCAACTGTAATAAATTAGAATGAGTATACTCAAAGATCCTTGGCCCAACATTATCCTAATTTAAGATTACACATTTGCCCTAGGGTTCCCGTTTATTGTACTACCCTTTTTGGTCCACTTTGTGTTATTCTTAATAACAACTTAATTGAGCATAGTTTCTTGCCTGGAAGATTCTTTCAACAATAACGTTATTTGGATTTTATTTACATAAATTATTGATGTAATTTATCATAATTATTAAATTAATTGTGCATTCAATCAAATATTTGGACCACCCAGTGGAGTGGTCCAGTAAGGTACCGGTCGAACTTCTTACTTTGAGGTTAGAGGTTCAAGTTTTAGAGTTTACTTTAGGGTTTAATGATTAGTCGTTTTGCTAGCGTAATTATGTTCGTTTCCGAGAGGAGTAATTGACAAAATCAATGACCTCATAATCCCACCAATAATATCTATCGGAATAATCTTTGGACGCTTGCCCTTTAAAAAAAATATTGAAATTCAATATCAATCTAATAATTATAAATGATTAAGTTAATAAATTAAATAGATATAACAGTGCTCATCTTTGAATAACCCTAACGTGACAATGGCCTTGAATATTTATGTCAATTTCACATATTAATAAGATATAGACACAAGGCCCTACAATATCAATCCGAACCTACACAATTAATTCATATGAAATAAATAGATTGAGACTGCATAAACACGAATAATTTTCTTATTGCTATTGTATAGAAATAAAATATATACATTCATTTTTTATTTTTTTGATCTAATGATATATGATTTGATTTTGAACTAAATAACTTTTTATTTGAAAATTTAATTATGACAAGACACAATAGAAGTGTAATACAATACAATTCAATTAATACCCATAGAGTTCGTTTGGTTGATGTATTAAAAATAGATAGATTGGTTAAAATAATACAGTCTAATATAATACAAATGGATAAAAGACAAGATTAAATATAATATTAAAATAATACATAATTTTATCTAGTGTTTATCAATATATAATATAAGCGTTGACTAGTACTCCATTCGTTCCTAAATATCTGTCATTTAAGGTTTTTACACAAAAATTAAAAAAATTATTAAATAGCTCTAATATGAGTAAAAAATAGTAATTACACAAGACTAAAATACTTTTATTCAATACGTATTGGGATGTAAAGAATATGAAAAACACTTAACCTCCATCTGATCTAATGCATTGAAAAGTTAAAGGTAAATTTGAAAGAAAAAATATTAATTATGTTTTGGTTTTATTAAATGACAAATATTATGGAATAAAAAAAATTGTATAAAACGACAGATATTTAGGAATGAGGGGAGTAATTATTTACTTTAATCATTGTTTGGTTAGAGAATTATTTTATCGTATTAATATTGAATTAATAAAAATACTCACGATCAATGTTTGTTACATTGATGACAACTTAATTTTATCACTTGGAGGATTATAATAATAAATGTGTAGAATAATACGTTTGAATTGAATTATAATAACACATTTCTTGGTGGTATTAAAAGACCTCTATATATATATCTATCGTACAAAAAATATACGATAAGTATACAATTAAGATATATTTTTTGAAATTAATACAGTATCAAATTTGCTTACTAAATAAAGTATTAAGTTCGATTAAATAAAAAATAATATAATTTAATATTTAATCCCCTTATAATTCATCTACCAAACGAACTCATACATCATTTAAGATGAGATGGTCTGACTGTTTAATTTTATACTTAAATCCCCTCTAATACTCATAATTTTTCAAATCCTTCAAAACTAGATTATCTAGTTAAAATTCAAGTACTATTTGTTATGCTTGAGTGTATCCTCCATTAATACAGTATTGATGATCTAATTTGAAAGTATAATGAAGGGTAAAGTGGGTAATACCAAGTAATAACCAATTTCATTTCTTTTTGGCTAAGGTATAATAAATTCGTGTTCCCACTTAAACATTGACCACCAACAGCAATAGCCACGTGACACGCCCGTATTCGTCGGTCACTTTTTATAAAACGACAATCCAGAGACAGGCAAATGGGTAACATGGGCCCATGTATTTGGATGGTAAAGTGGGGTCCATTTGATTTTGCGTGCGGGCATTAAACCACAGCAGGGTGTTCATATTTTGATTCATCATAATTTTTTATCTTATTTGGTTCTACACTACACTATTAACCGGTTATTTATAAAAATATAAAAAACTCATCAATTTTTGTATTTTTATCATATCATACTTGCATTAATTAATTAATTAATTTATATATATAAACTAAAAAAACTATAATTGTCAACTAACTTTATCGTCTATTGACTAAGCGAACGCCTTACTCCACTCATCTCTTCTTGCCTCCATTGGCGTTCATCGCTTAAACCTCTGCCTCCATAACTCGGGCCTCCATCGTTCAGTCCCGACCTTCCCAAATACTCTCGCTATCTATCTCACTCTCTGTCTCTATTTGGGTGCAATCTGGTATCCTTCATTATTCAGGCCTTTATCTACAGATTTGAGTTTTTTTTTAAGCATCAAATTAATGAATCTTAAAACCCTAGCTTTCAAGCGTCCTTCAAAGCTTCTCTATTTTTTTTAAGCATCATTCAGGCATTCTCTGTTTTTATTTTTTAAGCTTTCAAAACTTATCCAGTTAACATAAAAAATCGGGTAATTGTTGTTATAGTTGTTTTTAGTTTTAGTGTTATTGATTTATTATATTGTTAAATTGATACATGTTATTTAATTGAATTGTTAAAATGATCCAAAAATTAATAGTTACAAAATTATTTACCCCGACTTCCTACTCGATTAATCGGGTAGAGAGTCAGGTAGAAAAATCACACCTGATTGAGTAGGGTATGCCAAAAAAATTTTTTTTTAAAAATATTATGTTGAAAGACGAAAGACTATCCGTAGGGTAAGGGAACACCTTTACACCACATTATCTTGAAATTAAAACTTGGAGTGACACTGACTTGCCACTTGGCCAAAAGGACCTTCCTTCTTTCTATTTTATTTATATAAATTAAATTGCCTTTTGAGATCATTTTTCAAACTTTTTATAGTTTTATTAGTTGGTTTTAATTTTCCGTTTGATAGAAATGATAAAAAGTATAAAAAATAAATTTTTTATCCTCTAAAAAAAAATTAGGAATGATAAACTTTATTTCCTTTATGATTGGTAGGCTGAATGAAAAATTAAAATGATTAATTTTTTTGTACTTGGTAAATTGAAAAAAATATTTTTTTAATTTTAATTTTTATGTTTTTAAAAAAATATAAATACATATTTTATCATTATATTTATATATAAAATTAATATATACATAATATATTTATATATCAAAAGATATATAGACAAATAAGATACATTTTGATACAAATAATTAATTTTTCATCTATTTTCTTTTCAATTTGGAGGGATTGATTTTGATGAGTTGAAAAGAAAGTTCAATCATCTACTTTTTTTATTTTTTCTATTTTCCTTCCTTATCAAATATGATATTTTATATATCTCTCAAACTTTTCATCTTTTTATTTTTTTATCGTACCAAATGAAACATAAGAATGAATTTAATGACCAACAGTTTTTGTTCCAATAGTTCTACTTACCTTGTGAAGATTTTTGCCTTCTTAGGTCAAGAATTCAAATCTTCCTTTGAATTCAAATCCCACTAATAATTTCCCTATTGAAATTATACAGAAATAGATATATTAATTAAAAAAATTGAGATTTTACCGTACCCAATCCTTTGATCTCAATAATTACTTCAAGGAAAAAGAGAAAGTACAATGAAGGGTATTATGGGTAATTACAAGTAATAATTTAGTACATTTCTTTGTCTAAGGTATAACTTATAATAAATTCATGTTCCCACTTAAACGTTGACAAGTCACCGTCACCGGCCCAACCCTATCTAACTAAAACGATAACGTGTAACAAGTTTCCACAACAACACCCACGTGACAAGCCCGTATTCGTAGGTTACTTACCGTTATCATGGAAAATCCCGGGTCAGGCAAACTGGATAACATTGGCCCCACGTATTTGGAGGGGGCGGTGGGGTCCATTTGATTCTCCGTGTCCATTCCTACCGAGGCTTTACACCACACCCTCTGTCCACTTGATACGTTTAGCATAGTTGTTTAGAATTCAAGCATATATTGACACTAACTTGCCGCGTGGCCAAAAGAATCGTCATGCATCCTTGACTCAGTGTTCAGATTTTGGCCACGTGGCCAAAAGTTGGCTTCCTGCAGGTTGATGACGCCATCTCTAAGTCACCTTTTCTATTATATTTATATAGTTCTAACGGTATGGAAAAGTACAATAGGATGTAAAATTCGATTTTTTAAAAAATTGGTTTTATTATATTAAATAATAAATTTTTATTTTATTTATTTATTTGATTAAATCTTTCAAAATCTATTTTTTCCCAATATTTTGACAAAAGTTTTTCAAAATAAGTAATTTAATAAAATTTGCTCAACATATATATACTATCATGTATGAATAATGTTTGAAATAAAATGATTATAAATTATAAATTAATTAAATATTAAATAATTGAATATGTAATAAAAATAGATGATATAATGGTTTTGGGAAAAAAATGTGTAAAGGATAAAATTCAATTTCTTATGTATTTTATTATTTAAACTATTTATAACCTATATGTGAAGACACGATGAAATATAAGATTTGAGTGTTTAAAAAATTAATCTCATTTTATCAATATTAATTTTTTATTTCTTCATTTCTTTGATTATATTATTTAAAATTAATTTTCAAATATTATTTTCTTAAAAAAATA